TGTTTTCATAAAATGTTCTTTTTGCAGTCGTCGACGAGTATACTAAGAAAATATGGTAAAAAAATATGGTTTATAGGAAGACGAGTTACAAACTGTTTTCATAACCAGTGTCAAAAATACTATATAGAACCAAAATAAAAAAATTAGTCTGAAAAAGAAACGTTTTTAACAAAAAAATTGTTGGGGAAGGGGTTAACTGGGTGGTGCACAGCCCTGACCTTTGCCAGGACTTTCAGTGACTACTCGCTTTTGGGGGGTCTCTGTCTAAACTCAGCTAGTGAAGACAATGAATGGACTCCGGCAGGATATTTTTTCTATTTTAGAGAGTGGAAAGGAGAGGGAGAGACAGAGAGAAACATTGATGTGACAGAGACACAGTGATTAGTTGCCTCCCGCATGCCCCTGACCAGGGCCAGGAGCCTGCAATCAAGGTACGTGCCCTTGACCAGAACTGAACCAAGGACCATTTAGTCCGCAGTCTGACATGTTATCCACTGAGCCAAACCAGCTAGGGCTCTTTTTTCCCCCCCCTTTAATGTCTCTACCACCTGTTGTTTGAGGTTGGATCAGTCCTACCTAGTAAAATAGCTATTTGGAATATCTTATTTTCACATTCAAACACTGTCTGGTAAAGATACATTTTCTAGTACTTTCAAGTACCCCAGGAAAAAAAAGAACAAAAGGTAAAATGTTAAGTTAGAATTTTATGTTATTGGCAGATGTATGTGGCAGATCAAATCATAAAGTTGCTTGGCAAACATGGAATGTGAACAAAGGAGAATTAGTTTGATGAGTGGAATGTTTCATGGCATCATGCATCCAATTCTACGCGACAGGCTTCTTTCCAATAAGGGGCCTCCACCAACTTGAAATACTTAGGCTTATCACAATTGGATGCAAGAAAATAAAGATGGGCTTGGCACTTGTCTAAGACATTGACAACTTTGGGAATTCCAAGTGCTAGGCGCTTATGTAGGGGCAGAGAAACTTTTCTCTAGCCTCATGGTTCTTTTGGCTGGTCTAAAAATCAAATAGACATGAGAAAAGGAGGCCTCGGGGACAGGTTCACGGGATTTGTCTGGGATGAATTGCTGCAGCCTATTGCCCTCCTGGTCCCTTCGAGTTTAGGAGAAAAGTAGGAGGGGAGGCATGGTATGCTCCTGGGAGGGAGAGCATGCTGGACCTTCGTTTTGAAGGGTTTTAAAGGCTGAGCATTTAGGGGAGGTGTTATGGGGGGATCTCAATAAAAAATTCATCAGCATGAGGTTTATTCTCGTAACTTCATTTGTCCTTGGGTGTGGTCGGCAAAATGACACTAATTGGATTTCAGCTGTCTTCCTGAGTAGGGTGATTTAAGCTATTTATCCTCTGGTTGGGGAGAAGTGCAAACCATTTACTCTTAAGTGTCCCTGGTTTAAGGACGATAGGATTTACTGGATGGCTGCAAACTGCTTGGCATCGAGATTTTGTAGATGGCTGCAAACTGCTGTTTCACTATCTCAGTTTCCTTATTCTGCTTGTCCTGGCTTACTAGCCTGTTGCATCAGTTTGGTTTTTGTGGTGGCAGGCAGCTGAACCTTGGTTTTGGTTACAGCAACAGCTGATTTTCCTCACATAGTCCCTTCACTTCCTTCAGGGCCGTGATCAAACCTTATCAGAGACCTTCCTTGACTACCTACCTAAAATAACTTCTTGCCCGAGCACTCCCTCTCTCCTAACCCTATTTATTTTTTCCATAACACTTATCACCTGGCATGTTTCATACATATAGTCATATATACAGATATTTACATGTAAAATATATGTATAAAATATATAAAATAAAAGCATACATTACACATAACTATATATATAAAAGACTAAGCCACTGTCCACCCAGCCAATAGGTATGATGCACACTGTCCACCAGGGGGCAGACGCTCAGCACAGGAGCTGCTGAGCTGCAGTGACTTGGCAGCGGTGGTTCTCGGGTGACGCACCCCAAAACCAGAGAAGAGGAAGCCCGATTCCTCCCGGGGCTGTGTGATTCCACCTTTGGCCGTGGGTTATGTTGGTGCTGGGGCACTGTTGCCTCTGAATCTGGTTTACTGCACACTTGTGTTTGCGTTCCACACCCTGTATGACAGCAACTTTGCAGAGTGCCCTCTTGTGCTCTAGGACCCCTCGGGGGATGTCACAGAGCTGGTTTCGGCCCCATCCCCGCAGGTCAGGCTGAGGGACCCCACCTGCCGGAGGGACCCCACTCACTCCACAGACGCCCTTCCAGCCATGGCTCCACCCCAGGTACGGCCGGCCGGCTGGGAGGGGCTGTAGGAGGTTGGCTCCAGGGCGTGTCCGGCCCTTCTTGCCCAGTACCACCCCATTGGCCACCTTCTAATTAATTTCCTTCCAATGTGCACGAATCTGTGCCCTGGGCCATTAGTATAGATATATTTACATGTAAATATACATGCATAATTTATAAAATATTTGTCTATATGTATATAAATACATGTTTAACATGTATGTGTTACATATACAGGATGTCCACAAAAATGTATACACACTTTAACAGCTGATAGTTCAATTTTGAAGATGTTTTAATAAACATTGCCTTCATAATTATTCAAAGTGTGAGATACATTTTTGGGGACACCCCATATAAATAAATATTTTAAAATATTTACATTATATATGTATACATGTTTATACATGTTTTTTCCCTATTAGGGCTTACTAGAATCTAAACTTCATGAGGGCAGGCTCTTAGTGCCTAGTAGTCCCTAGACTTTAATAGGCACTGAATGACTGCATAACGGCATTCCAGACAATATGCTCGATTTGGAGAAATTCATATGAGAATTTTAGCAATAACAACAAAACAAAAGGCCCAACCACCTGCCATAGTGAAGAACATTAGGCTAATAGCTATATATTATATATTAAAAAGTTGACTCCACTTGTTAGATCTACAGAGGAGAAAAAGGTTTGTATAGTTTAGAGAAAAGACTAGTACATTCAAATTCTGTTGCATTATTTGTCTGAAAATATTGTGCAGAGCCTCAATTTAGAGGAAGTGGACAGAACCAGTTTCTCTTCTTGCTTATGCCATTACCAAAGAACACATTTGGGGGTATCTGAAAGAATTTCGCGAAGCTGCAGAGTGAATGAGCTCTTTGCTCACATCAAGCCATTTTTGTAAATAGGTGGTCATGCTTTTCTGATCCCCTAGTGACTCACAAGATTACTCATCCTAATTGATGTTAATATCCTGAGCCTAAAACAAAGAGAAAAATAGAAACAGTGACAGTAACAGTTTTTGGTAAAAACAAAAATCCTCTTTGGATTTCTTTCAGTTAGCGAAAACAGGTACTAATGTAGGTCATCTGCAAAAATGAATTGGTGTAACGCAAACTTTCAGAAAGTATTTTAAGTAATCATTGCCTTATAATTATTGAAAGTGTGTTTATATATATTTTGGGACACCCCGTATAAACATAAATATTTTAGAATAGTTTATTCCCCAATGTCCCCTTTCTCTGACTTCCCAGTAAGCCAAAGCAGGCCAGTCTAGGTCAATTCCCCACCTAGTCTCTCTCTCGTTGCTTCTTCTATCCTAGGCCCTTCCTTGTTTCACTGACCCAGCTTTAATAAATGTCCTCTAAAAATCACCTGGACTCATACTATGAAATCTTTCCTGCACGAAGTCAAGAACCCACACACTACCAGTGGCCCTAGGTAGACCTGATCAGGGCCAGGCTCTTTTCTGGTAACAAAACAACAAAAGTAACATACATAAATGTCTTTTTTTTTTTTTATAGTATGTATATTTACATAGTATAGTGTCTACCATAAGTTGGGGTTCAATAAGTACTTGCTGGCTTGGCCAGTGTGGCTCAGTGGTTGAGCACTGACCTATGAACCAGAAGGTCACAATTGATTCCCAGTCAGGGCACTTGCCTGGGTTGCAGCTTGATCCCCAGTGCGGGGTGTAGGAGGCAGCCCATCAATGAGTCTCTCTCATCATTGATGTTTTTCTCTCTCCCTTCCTCTCTAAAATCAATTTAAAAATAATTACTTGGTGAATGAATGAATGAATAACAAGTCCTCTCACCCTATCAGGGTAGCTCAGTTGGTTAGATTGTCATCCTGATCCACCAAGGTTGTGGGTTCAATCTCCAGTCGGGGCCCATACAAGAAGCAACCAATGAATATATAAATAAGTGAAACAACAAATTGATGTTTCTCTCTCTAATCAATTTTAAAAAATGGGGAAAAAATATCCTCTCTTCCATGAGCCTAGCAGAGGGAATTAACATTTCCCCAGGTTCTAAGCCATTACTTGAAATAACACACAAGTGGGAAATTACTGGTCAGAGTCTTCCTTAATTCAATCTTTTTCTTAGAGCTCCTATGTTCCTTTGTCTTGATAAATATATCCAGTAGACAAATGAGATCATGAAAGTCTATTTTAAGATTGTGGAATACATGGACTAAATAAAGCTAGGATGTACAAAAATGCTTCTACCTTTTATTCTGCTATTTTAACACATTTTTAAGAAGTCAATGTCACTCAGTTATCAGTTGAAATACTTTATTTCTTAAAAATATTTTTTAAAATTAAAATCTTTCCATATTCCCAATTAGGTATTCTAGCCTTAGACTTAAAACTCATTTTTTTCATGAGTATATTTTCTGTTAAACGTACAAAGGAATATATTTTCATAGAGGATGTTGAAAATTATAGGTTCTGGTTTTGTCAGGTGCAGTATTTAGAGTGTTATTTTGATAAAATCCTGTAGCTCTGATATGCCTTGAAAATTCTTGCTCTTTTGGAGTATAAATGCAGGGGAAAAACTCTGGCGTAGGTAGACATTCACCATACGTACTTGAATTGGTTTTATACATAATCATCTTGGGCTCTGATAGTGAGGTAGCTGTAAGGAGTGTTTTTGGATCCAACATACATGAAAACACAGGATTGCCAGGGTTCACACAAGTAGGCAGTTGTTGAGGTTTCATTTCTGTGTCTGAAGTTGAAGCTAAAGTACTTTTCTTATCCTAAAATATAAACACATCAAATCATTCTCAATTATAAAGTTGTTAGTGGGGGGAAACCCCAAAACTATTAAACTTAGCCCCACCCTAATTTTAATACCACTCACAGAAATTAACTCAAAAAAATTTACTCAAAATGAAGACATAAATGTAAGGCCTGAAACTGCAAAACTCTAGGGAAAAAACAGGAAAAAAAACCTCATTAGTCCTCACAACAGTTTTTTGGATGTGACACCAAAAGCACAAGTAACACATGCAGAAATAAACAAGTGGGACTATATCAAACCAAAAAGTCTGTACACAACATAGGAAACCATGAACAGAATGAGACAACAACTTAAAGAATGGGAGAAAATGTCTGCAAACTATATATCCAATAAGAGGTTAATATTAAAAAATATACAAGGAGCTCATATAATTCGAAAGCAAAAAACCCACACCAAACAACAGTCCGATTAAAAAATGAACAGAGAGATCCAAAATGGCAGCAGAGTAAGTGGAAGCTACACTGACACTCTCCCAGGACCAAACTGGAAATACAACTAAAATACAGAAAAAGCACCCCAAAAATCAACTGAAGACTAGCTGGAGAGAACCTTGATAACCAAGGAGGGAAAGTGGAGACTGCATAGAGACTGGTAGGAAGTGCGGAGGCATGAAAGGGCTGGCTGGGCTCCCAGGGACAGTAGCTGAAGTGCAAGAAGGATATCTCAACTGTGGGGAGTTCCCACTGAGAACTCTGGGGTCTAAATCCCAAGCTTGGCTCCCCAGCCCAGAGCACCAGAACTGAGAAAGGTGCCCCCATAATATCTGGCTGTGAAAAGCAGCAGGTTTGCTGCCTGCCAGGGAGAGATGGCTTGAAATTCACACATGCTCTTAAAGGACCAATGCACAAAATTTTATATGCAGCCACTCACCTTGGGCCCGGCAGGGAGAGGGCAGAGTGGACTGGAGGTGTGTGAATAGAGTCCAGGGTTGGGGGCTCTGGGTTTGGAGCTTAGAGGGCAGCCAACTTGGTTTCCTGTGCTGAGTCATTCACTCATGCTGCTGAGGACATCTTTCTCTGGCAGTACTTTCCTGTCCAAGTGGTTTTTGCCTAGGGGAAGGCAGTTGCCCCACCCTGTTGGAAGACTTCTCGCCCAACCCCGTGGTCAATAGCCTGAGGTTAATCAGTGTCAATCCCACTGCAGGTAGAGGTGGATCTCTGGAGGCTTTGAGTCTTTGCCTGGTCTCCTTCTGGGCCTGGGGCTAGATAAAGCAGACCCTGGCGCACATCTTGGTCTTTCAAAAGGCACCTAGCCCCAGCAGAGGAAGACACAAGTTGTGGATTGCTGAGAGCTCCTAACAGGGTACTTAGGGCCAACTCACCCTGAATTACTGGGTTATCTATAATAATAAAAGTATAATATGCTAATTAGACTGGTCGTCCTTCCAGACGAAGCTGCGGCAGCAGGGGCCCCCAGTCACAAACAGCTTCTGACATTGTCCTGCACAAGAGATTTGGAGTTGTAGCAGATCTACCTAATACACAGACACAAACCCAAACAGGCTGCCAAAGTGGTGAGACAAAAAAAGCCCTAAATGCAAGAGAATTCTCCAGAAGAGCTAAATGAAATGGAAATAAGAAACTGATCAGATATAGAGTTCAGAATAATGATGGCAAGTATGCTCAACAGCATGAGAAAAGACATAGTAATTATGAAAAAAGACCAGTCTGAAATGAAGAATGACATAACGCTAATAAAGAACACATTGGAAGGAATACACAGCCGATTAGGGGAAGCCAAGGATTGAATCAGTGAATTAGAAGAGAACTCCATCAGAGAACCAAAAAGAAAAAACAATTAAAAAACAGGACAGCTTAAGGAAGCTGTGAGACATCATAAAATGTAACAATATTCGCATCATAGGAGTGCCAGAGGGGAATAAAGTGAGCAAAGGATAGAGAACTTGTTAGAAGTAATAATGGCAGAACTCTTCCCTAACCTGGTGAAGGAAAAAGTCATACAAGTTCAGGAGGCACAGAGAGTCTCAAGCAAGAAGAATCCAAACAGGCCCATGCCCAGACATATAATAAAAATGCCAAAAATTAAAGAAACCATCAACAAAATGAAAATGGAGCCAACTGTATGGGAGAACATACTTGGCAATGATACATCTGATAAAGGACCAATATCCAAAATATATAAGGAACTCACTACAGCAGATTGTGATTCATGAAACTGAGACCCTTTAAGACTTCTAAATCCTTAAAATTAGCAAGCATATAATCTGCTTCTTCAACTCTAAAAGGAGATAAAAATGTTTATAGAGCTGTTCTGTCAAACTAATGTGAGGACAAAGCCTTTTCTGAGTTGCATACTTGGATCACATTAGTTAGGTTCCTCTTAGTGTAACCGAACTCACCCTGAATTACTGGGTTATCTATAATAATAAAAGTGTAATATGCTAATTAGACCGGACGTCCTTCCAGACGAAGCTGCGGCAGCAGGGGCCCCCAGTCACGGCGGTGGTGGGGGCCAAGTCCCTTGCACGAATTTCATGCATTGGGCCTCTAGTTCTATATAATGTCTCAGCAAAGTTAAATTTACTAATGTTCAGAACCTATTAGTTGTAAAAGCTTGAGTTCAAATCTGCAAATGTGAAGTATTTAGTACACTTTCTCTTTCTTTTCCTTTGTTCAAATTTAAATGATTATCAACCTATGATCCAACCCTTCATCATTATCATTTCCCTTTTGTATATCATATGTAAAATTGGTTTTAAAAAGCTGCCTTAGTCTGTGCTTATGAAGATATATATACTGAAAGAAAATTGGATGTAAAGATAAATTGCTATGTAAAATGGAATCATTTTTTATTGTTTTCTTTTTTGCACGTTTACCTCAATGCTTTTGTATGCTCTTCCAGAATTCAGTTCTGAAATTTACAGGTTAACAACACTACATTAGTATACTACAATCTATATATATAAAAGGCTAATATGCAAAGTGTCCCCTTGGGAGTTCGGCCAAGAGACTGGGAGTTCGATCGATCGCTATGATGTGTGCTGACCACCAGAGGGGGGCGTGGAATGAAGGAAGGCACCAGCCGGCAGCCAGCAGCCGAGGAAGGGAGGCCCGAGCTGGCAGCCAGCAGGCCCCAATCATCCCTGATCACCAGCCAGGCCTAGGGACCCTACCCATGCAAAAATTCATGCACCGAACCTCTAGTTTACTAATATTTAGTTAATATTCATATATCTTATAGGAAGCTGGCAAAATTAGAAATAGAACTCATCAGATTTTGCTATTTATTCTTTTTGATGCTGCCTATTAATTCTTTTTAAATATCAAGAGCACAGACATTGGATGATAATAAACTCCCAGCATCCTATGGTGTGTCAACAGGACAGCTTTTCTCAAAATGTCTAGGTTATCTCTGCACAGGGAAAGCCTCTTAGGTGGAAGGTGACTGCCCTGTGATTTGTGAGGAAAAGTACCAACTCTAATTTATGGACACCCAGTCAGGTTGCCCAGGAGAACTTCTTTCACAGAGGACTCTCATCAGATCACCCTCTACTTCTGGTTCTAAATTCTGATCAACTTTGGTGCAAAATGTAATACAGAAAACCGAATTGAGTTAAAATAGAGGATAAGTTAGCTGATAAACTTGGTTGGTATAATTTATATCACACAATCTGGAAATTAGTGTCTACCTAAATCTTCTAGACCTCCAGGATAATTCAGAAATGTTTTATAGACTTAGAAACAAAATACACACTACTTTTACTTTTTTATCATAGGCCCTCACTGCAGTTTTCTTATTTGGGTTTCACCCTCCTCAAATCTCATATTCTTAAAATGTGGAGTTCAAACTGTATACAGTTTAAAATAAAACTAAACAGCCGAAACCGGTTTGGCTTAGTGGATAGAGCGTTGGCCTGCGCACTGAAGGGTCCCAGGTTCGATTCCGGTCAAGGGCATGTACCTGGGTTGCGGACACATATATATTTATATATATATAAAATAAAACTAAACAAAATAGTCTAATACAGTGATGGCGAACCTGTGACACTCATTTTTTGGGTTGATTTTTCTTTGTTAAATGGCATTTAAATATACAAAATAAATATCAAAAATATAAGTCTTTGTTTTACTATGCTTGCAAATATCAAAAAATTTCTATATGTGACACGGCACCAGAGTTAAGTTAGGGTTTTTCAAAATGCTGACACACCGAGCTCAAAAGGTTCGCCATCACTGGTCTAATACAAAGAATAATAAAATGATTATTTTAAGTTCTCTGCCAGTTATGCATGGTGTCAGCAACTGTTTTTTACTTAAGGATAAGAAAGTAAATTAAAATTGTAAATGATTATTTTAAAATTGACTATGTTGTAGAATTGGCTTGGGAAAGAATACAATCCTACAAATAGATGATAGTAGCTTTCTTATTAATTTAATTTGTAAGGCTTTCCTAGAATTAGAAAAAGCCTGGCCACTTTAATTTTTCAAAGTCCTTTGGTATAAACACATATTAAAAAATATAGAAGCCATTGAAATAATAAAAATATTTCTTAGCCCTAGCTGGTTTTGCGCAGTGGATAGAGCAATGTCAGGGCCCCGGTTTGATTAGGGTCAAGGACACATGCCCGGGCTGCAGGCCTATCCCCAGAAGGGGGCGTGCAGGAGGCAGCCTATCAATGATTCTCTCTCATCATTGATGTTTCTCCCTCTCCCTTCCTCTCTCTTAAATTAATAAAAGTATATTTTAAAAAAATATTTCTTAGAGAAGCTGTAATTATAAAACTGTGTTTTTTTCTTTTTTGGTGTCACAGTTGATGTTAACTATAGTAACCTCCAAAGCAAAAAAACACACAAAAGTGTAAGTTTGAGACACCTTTTGTTTCTGTCGAGGCTCACCATCTTTCTTGTTAATGTTTTTGTTAACTTTTTTATTCCTTCCACAATTGGGGGACAGTTAAAGCTTAGCTTTCTAGTTTCCATCAACAGTATGAGTGCACCTACCTTTTGTAGCTCGTATTTGAGCAAGGTACAATGTAAATAAATGAACAAGGTACATTTTTTGTTGTTGTTCAAAGCCATCACCTCATGGTTCGCTATACGGTACGAGTTGCATACCATCCCCAATCATCTTTATACCTTTAGAGCAATTCTGGCTTAATTCAACATTGCACATTTGCATCTGTGTAGCTCAGTGGCTGCCTAGAAAGGTATTGTTTGTTGTTATTGTTGGTGTTTTTTGTTTTTTTTTTAGGGTGGATGCCCCAAATTTAAAGCAAAGTAGACGAACATTCAAAAACATCTAGCCCTCTGTCCAAACCCACTCAGCCATACCCGGTCATTCTCCATATCTTTCTTTTTTCGTCAAAGGCAGTCTTTTTCTTCAGCGGATGACGAGGCGGCCAAAGGATGCGGCTTTTTATGTACACTCAATTAAAGCCTGAAAGAGAAGGGAAAATATGGGCTGGATCAAAATCCCGGGCAGTCCTCCGGGTTGAAATGAATCCTTTGGAGCGATTGTAGCAGCCCATCTCCATAGCAACCTTCCGCGGCGCCTCTCCGCCTTTAGAGCGCCCGGGCCCGGATGTTATGAGACTCGTGGCTTCCTGCCGTCTCCCCGCGGCGGGCTGCGCTGTTCTTCGGGAGTCGTAGTTCTTCCCTCCGCTGCCCCCCGACGCAAGGCACGGGGCGAGACTACGAGTCCCAGCATGCGCTGCGGCGCGCCGCCGGCCGCCTCCTCTCGGGAGCGGACGCCTGCGAGCAGGTTGTTGTTTTTATTAGAGGCGTCACTGGGCTCGGAGCTGTGACCAACGCCACCGCAACAGCCTGCACTTTGGGGCGGAGGTGGCGCTGCCCCTTCAGGTACGGCCCGGGGTGGGTTTGGGCCCCAAGAGAGGAGTCGCGGCCACCTGTCAGAGCCCTGGCTGGCACCCGCGGCTCATACGCCTGGCGGAGGCATTCGCGCGGTCTCCTCTGAGGCTGAGCTCGGAGTTCGACTCCTGCCGCCTGGTGCGTGTGGCCGCACCGGTGGCCTCGGAACCGGAGTCTGCAAAGAGCCGGTGTCGGTTCCTGAGGCGTCGGGTCTGGTGGTCCTGCAGCCTCCGACTGGCACGTGCAGACCCCAGCGCTGCGCTCGCTCAAGGTGCGGGGGAAGCGTGCGGCTCGGGGACCCTCCTTCCTCCCCTGGGCTGGCTCGGGTGAGAATCCATATGGTGAGATGTTACGTGCGCCACCCTGCCGGGTTTTCAGCCGGCCCATCTTTTTTTGGTGACGTTTGAGCCCCGTGATGCCAGGAATAGAAAAATTAAATATTAAATAGTGCAGGTGAGATTTCTGCTCGTACACTAGGCGCTCCATATCCGTGTCCTCCTCCAGCGGCCCCCGTTAGCGTCGGCCTTCTAATCGAGAAATCTGCTGGATTAGCTCTCCATAGAGTGCCTTGCAAACCTTACATGTTTCCCTTGTTTGATGAATCCAACCCTGCCGGTGGGAGTGCCAGTTTTAAGGAACTCAGTCCATTAAGGTACTTTGTTGCGGGGATGAAATTTACACTGCTTCACTCTAGCTTTATTGAAAAAACGGAACGGAGTTTTCTTGTAGCTAGAACGGGTATCACGAATTTTAGGAGACTTGCATTTCTCAGTAAGGTCGCATCGTTTGGATAGTGCTTGAAATGTCACTATTAGCCCGTCATATCCTTTGGCTTAAGGTTTTAATATTATTAGGCTCCAAATTTTCGGTGATATTTATCACACCATCCTAGTGTGAATGGTTTATTATGATTTCCTGAGCTCTGAGCCTAAAAGGGAAGGGAAA